GACCAAACCGCCTTCCAGAAGGTGATCAGCACCGTCCAGCCGCCGCCCAGCAGCCGCTACCGCTCTCTTCTCCGGTACATCGACCTGGTCCGGGAGTGTCCGCCCGCCTCAAAACTCCTCGCCGACTGGGGCCTCGCCCTGGAGCCGTACACCTCGGTGGCGATGACCGCCGACCTTCTGCGCGAGGAGATGATACTGACCAGCAGTTTTGATGGTGATAATAATCACCAAAACTCGAATGCCCTTTTGGCTCGCCACCGCTACCTTCAAACCAAGACGACCTCCTCCAACTGGAGCCACCTTCTCCGGCACAGTCCCCTCCTACTTCCGGTCTCTATTGGCTCCCGCTGGTCGGTGGTCCACTCCCGGGTGGACACCGCCGTCACCCGGCACTTTGTCCTGCTCTGTCGACGAGCCGCCGCGGCCATGTCCCTCGACCTGGAGGAGCCTCGAGCCGTTGTTTGCACTGCTAATGGCGGCGGCGCCTCGGCGGACGACTTCCTGCTGGCCATCAAGGCGTGCTACAGCCCTGAAGATCGCATCCTGGTGGTGGTCACCCCGGGGGCGGTGGAGGTGAAGAGCCGCTACGACCGCATCAAGCAGCTGACCAGCCTGCAGCTGGGCGTGGCGACGCAGTTTGTCCGTGGGGCGACGCTGGGCGCCGGTAACCGGAAGCTGGAGACCATCACGCCGGCCATTCTCGTGCAGATGGTCTGCAAGCTGGGCGGGGCGCCCTGGGGGGTGAGCATGCCCGGATTGGGAGTTTCCTTGAACTCCTCCGCCTCCTCATCCTCTCCTCACCCACTTCACCTGGTAATGTACGTCGGCATTGACATCTACCACCGAAAGAGCCTCAAGCGGCGGTCGGTGANCCTACGTGAAGGTGGAGGACACGAGCGACCTCTGCGAGGGCGACTTCCTGGCGGAGGCGACCAGCTCGGCCCTTCTTCGCTACCGCTTCTTCAACCGCCGCCTGCCCACCAGTGTGGTCATCTACCGCGATGATGTGGGCGTGCCGCTGGAGAAGCTGCTCAGAGTGGAGTATGCGGCGATGGAGGCGGCCATTAGAGGGGTCTACTCTTCAGAGGAGGTGGTAAGAGAGAATTTTTAAGAATTTAATTAAAATCTAAACTTCCTTTTTCACCCCCTAGAATCGAGAATCCGCCCCTCTTCCGGTCATCGTCTTCATGACCGTCGCGAAGCGCATCTCCACGAAGCTCTTTGTGCGGGACGAGGATGAGGACCGTTTCTGCCCGCCACTCTCTCCAGCCACCATTGACCGCATCTCCGGATCAGAATCCTCGCAGCCTTCAAGAATGGATCTTCAAAGTGGAGATGATAATCCGGCGATGATGATGATCCCCCAGGTGAAGAACCCGCCCAGCGGGACGGTGCTGACGATGAACGCCGAGCGCTTCGACCAGTTCTACCTCGTCTCGCAGAAGAGCACCGTCACGGCGGCCTGTCCCATTCGGGTGAGGGTGCTTCGCAATTCGGGCAGCAAAAGAAATGGCACGCTGGCTGCAACTGGACTTTCTGCCGAGGAGACTGCCGCCGAAGAAGAAGACCTGCTCAGCCTGGCCACGCTGCAGTCCGTCAGCTACAAGCTCTGCTACCTCTACTACAACTCCACCTCCATCTGCAGACAGCCGGCCCCGGGAATGGTAAGATGCAATGGTTTTGAGTGTATGCCTATTTGACTAATTGTGGTTAATTGGGCGAACTTCTTTTGTATCCCCCCCCCTTTTTTCCTGCAGTACGCCCACAAGGTGGCCAACTTTGTGGGAGAGCACCTGGAGACGGAGGGAGCTGAGGAGCTGCACGAGCGGCTTTTCTACCTTTGAAGCCGTGGAGGGAGACGGCAGTCGTAGTCGTGCAACAGGTGATTTTTTAATTTAGTTTTTTCTGTGTTTTGTACTTTAATTTTCTAATGTTATTTTTAATAAATTAAAAGGATCATTTAGGTTGATATTGAGTTTTTTAATTGTAAAGTGGATGACATTGAGTGCTAATTTTAATTTGTAATGGTGTTGTCGTTTCTAGTAAGTTTTTTTTAATTATAAATCAGTGTTTTTATTTATAACCCATTTGTATTGTTTAGTGAACATATAATAAAACACTTTAATTTTTTACCGCCAAGACTCTACAAATTTTACAATCAGTTTTTAAATTTTAACTAGTTTATAAACTTTACTTTTATAAAAAAAATGAAATATTTATTTTTTGTTTTGTTTTTGTGCCAAATTTGTAATAAAATTACAATTTGTACATGTACAAATATTGAAGATATTAAAAGTATTTTTACTAAAATGGCTATCTGTGTGACTGTAGGAAAATTTTTTAGTTATGAACCAGGTAAGTTTTTTAACATAAACATAATCAAACTTACATATTTTTTAAATGCTGTTTTTTAATATTTTATAAATTAGTTATATAGTAGAGATTAATTTAATTTAAAAATAATATAAAAACTAGTTGTAGAGTTATAGAGGCTAGTTCAATTAATTATTAACGTGCTTTATAAACGCAGCTACACCTTCTAATGTTATGAAATTTATCTAAAAATTCTACTATAAAAATTGATCACAAGTGTTCCTCGAGATTGGCCTCAATCTTCCGCAGTTGCATTCAGAACAATGTTTGTGATCACTTTTTAAAAAAAATAATATTTTTTTATTTTATCATAGGACTTTCTGAAGTTCTTCCATTTGAAGTAACTCCAAAAAACAGTGAAATTAAGAATATAGTTGACAAAACTAAAAATGAAATTTTTGAAAAATTGGGTTTTTCTGATGAAGATTTTATTGTAGTGAAAAGTGCACGTAAAGGTGATGGTTATTATGCAAGAGACTTTTATTTTACTGTAGTCGCATCAACAAATAGCGAGGCCCTTGCGGATATAAAAGAATGCAGATATAGATACACTAATGAAGAATGCGGCTCTAACTCACTGAAATGTACACTAAATAACGGAGAATCAAAACTTTACTTTATGAAAAAAGTGTAAACAAAATTTATTTAAACTTTTTATTTTAATAAAAATAAAATAAAATTGTGGTGATTGAATTATAATTATTGCTGTTGATTTACAATTTGTAAAAAATTAATTAGTTTTATAACTAACTATTAAAAACCTAATTGTTGAGAGACGGAAGGTGCTAAGGAGTCGCACAAACAACTTTTTTATTTTTGAGGCAGCGTCAGTAGAGAGAGAGACGGCATTTGTCGTAAAACAAATGCATTTAATTAAATTTTTTTTTATTTTTTACATTTTTTTTATTTTTTAAAAAGATCATTAATGATGATATTAAGTTTTAATTGCATTGGTCAATGAAATTGAAAAAACGTTTGCAAAAAATATAATAACTACACTATTTTAAGTTTAGTTTAATAAAAACATTGGTTATAATTTAAACGTTAATTTTTTAAAAAAAATTTAAAATGAATTATATTGTTTTTGTTTTATTTTTTTGCCAATTCTTTACAACACTGTCTGGGTAAACTCAGTCAATCAACAACGTTCTTTTTATTTAATTGAATGTTTATTGTTATTTACTTGCCAAAAAAGCTTTTGGTTTTAGAGATTAGTTAAAGTATTAGAGCCTCCTACTTAAAAAAATTATCTGGAGTAGCTGGCAACAGTTTTATATTTTGTTAATTTTTATAATCCAAAACTATTTTTTTGGCAAATAGGTAACACTAAACATTTTTGAACAAATAAAAGAGATTTGATTGTTTAACACAATTTCAACCAAACATTGAAATTTGATGTAACATTTAGTAATGAAAAACGTCATGCACTATGGTGTGAAAATTCTACAAAAAGCATTAGTAAGTTTTTAATATTTATATACATATAAACTTTTAATTATAATAATTTTTTATTTGTAAAAAAGATGGAAAATTTCGTCTAATTAAATTAGATCCACGTAGTGATGAAATTGAAAAACTTGTTGCTAATGTCAAAGATTCTATTTTAAGCAATTAGGCTTGTTTGATGAAGATATAATTCAGGTGGAAAGTGCTTGTGAACTAAATCGTAAAAATCTTCATCTTTTGCACAGAAAATTTCGATTTACCTTAATCACATCACCAAATGAATGGGCATTTGAAGATATAGAGTATTGTACATATTTTTGTGATAACGTTTATTGGAATAATGAAAAATGTTCATTTTCAAAACTGAATTGTAATATGAAAAACGGTAAAATTAAATCATACAAAATTCTATAAAAATTTTTATTTTATTTTTAACAATAAAAAAATTAAGTGTTAAAGTTTTTATAAAAATTATTTTTAATAACCCAATTAAAAATGTTTTGTATTTTTTGTTAATTTTAAAAACATTAAAAGTCAACAAAATAATGCGCAAGAACAGAGGAATAATTATTTTCATTTTTTAAATTAAAAAAGCAGCTTTTTAATTAACAATAAAATCATTACAAATTTTTCAATAGTCTTTTTGTGCTTGTAGTTTTACTGGGTAAAAACTTGGAAATGAAAGGAGTTGAGGAGTTGCTCAAATTGTTTTCTACCATTGAAACGGCGGCGGTAGAGGGAGACGGCAGTCGTAGTAAAACAGGTGATTTTAATTTAGTTTTTTTCTGTATTTTCTACATTTCTTTTCTATTTTTTAAAAGGATCATTAAAGCTGATATTGAGTTTTTAATTGTAAAATAAATGACATTGAAAGTTAAATTTAATTTGGCTAAGTAGTTTTAAGAAAAACAAATTAGTTGCGCGTTTTAATTTTAATAATCATAAAAAATAAATAACAAAACCAATTTTAAAATTAAACAAAAATTTAAAAATTATAAATGAAAATTTTACTTTCGGTTTTACTTTTATGTTATTGCTTTACAGCAATATTTGGGTAAAGTCATATTAAATAAACAACTATTTTGGTTTATTTAAATGTTTATCAGCCTATCTCTAAAAATTTATATCTAACTTTTTAATGTGACAATTAGCCATGAACAAAGAGATTTTTTCTGGTGTTTGACTAATCTCCCTAAATCTATGAGTAAGTTTTTAATAATTACATATAAACTTTTTATTAATTTTTTTAAAAGAAATAATGCGTCCTCGAACAGTTAAATTAGATCCACAAAGTAGTGAAATTGAAAAGTTTGTTGCCGATGTTAAAGATACTATTTTTAAACAATTAGGCTGCTCAGATGAAGATATAATTCAGGTAGAAAGTGCCGGTAGAACTACTCGAAACGATCCCTACCTTTCTACAAAAGAGTTTAGATTTACCTTAATCACATCCCCAAATGAATGGGCATTAGAAGATATAAAGTATTGCACATATGAAAATGGAACTGCCCACTTAGATAATGAGAAGTGTTCAGCTGCAAAACTGACTTGTGAATTGAAAAACGGTAAAATTAAAACATACAAAATTTCATAAAAAATTTAAATTTTGACAAAATATCAAAAAAAATAAAATTTTAAAGTTATTGTTAAATTTTTTAATGACCCGATTAAAAATGTGTTGTGTTTCTTTTTAATTTCAATGACTTTAGAGGTCAAGAAAAAAATGATGCGCAAAAACAAAAGGAATAATTACTTTTATTTCTTTAATTAAAAAAGCAGTCTTCTGATTAATGATACTATCATCACAAAATTCTAATAATTTTTTGTGTTAGAAGTTTTTGCAATTTTTTTAATCACGAAAATTTGACTTTTTAGCCTTGAGATTTTATGATGTGTTACAAAATTGGTCAACATTATTTTAAGCCAAGTTTGTACAATTTTAAATTTTTGCGCAAGATTTTTAAACTTATTTTTGTACATATATTAAATTATTGTTTGTTAGCATCAGCATCGTCTTAGTCTTTGTCGTCGTCACCGCCTTTGTTATCTAATTTAGACGTAATTTTTTGCTCATTATAATTAGCCATTTGCGTTTGCAATTTTTCCCTTTTGTCTTACAATTCAATTAACCGTTTTTTTTCTTCTAGATGTGTTTCTCTCTTGTTGACCTTAACTCAATTACATATTTTTCTAGTCTCCTATTGGAAAAACAATATCAGGCAGTTTTGCAATATCATATTTAGATTTATAAAAATTTTTGACTCATTGAAAATAATAAAACCCAAATAATTTTTGTTAAAAACAAACCATCTGTTGATATTGCTGTCTAGTTTGCCCTCATTTTAAGAGTTGACAGTTATTCTCTTCTTTTCCGGCAGCCCGTCTGCAGCAGTAAATTATGTCATTTTGACAAAAAGAAAAGTTGCAAATAGCAAAGGTCATCAGTTTGTCAAAGTAAAAAAATTCAGTAAACAGCATCGTAAATAACATCTCAGTAACTCAAATAAAAGCAGTTAAAAATAATTTTAAAACGCTCAGCTCTTGATTTATCTTGTGTTTGTTTTGAGCAGAAGTGTTTAATTCAATTAATGGTTACAAATTCGAGCACTACTTTGTGGTCTAAAAATGCTACAATATTTTTGCTTTTTAAAACGTACTTTTAATTTTCATTTTCACCTTCATCTCTCCATTTGTCAACTGTTCAAACTCAGACAGTAGCAACCACAGCAGCAGCAAATAAAGCAATTACCAATTAGGCAATTTAGGCAGACATGAGCTTTTGCTTTTGCCTATCTTCTCAAAGGCACTTTCTCCTTCTTCTCCTCCTCTTTGGATGTCATCTGTTTTGTCTTTCTCTCCCGTGGTGGTCTCCTTTTGTCAAGATGAAGAAAAGTGCAAAAGAAAGTAAAAGAGAAAGAGAGAGAGAGAGAGTTATCACTCAAGTCTGAGCTTTGAGGAGAGGCAATTTGCATTTTGACGGACTAATTTGCAGCTGCTGCTGCTGCAACCACAGCAGCTAAATTAC